CTAATGTTTTCATTTTATTTCTTTTTATACTTAATTGTACTGCCATATGTTTGTCCCTATTTACCTTTTGGTAAAAACTAAACATTGGTTTCTGGTTGGTCTCTGCCTCGGATGTCCTGGTCTCGGTCTCGACCTGCAAAATTCCTTGAAAACTTCCATGTCATGTGTAAATTGAGAAAACTGTCTGTTCTCCTGATAATGGCTGCTACCCAGGTTTTCCCCTGCCTATTCAACTGTGGCACAGCCCATCTCACTGACTTTAGGACGATCTCGAGCTTTTCTGATGAGTTTCACCAGCTCACACTTACATGTGTAAAATTGACAAAGATGGAAGAAAAATGCAAAACGACTTAGATATTTTGAAAAAGATGAATTTCAATGGTACATTATAACCACTATAATAGCTTCTCACACCCTGGAGTATCTCCAGCCACGATTTAAGAGATAAAAATACTTCTTACCATGTTAAAGATTTCTATTCCTTTGAAATTTTGTAATGAATAATTTACTTTTTGAGTCGTCGTAAGATTTTGCTGCTTGAAACAAGCCTCTGCAGTGCAATTTTTCTCATTTAAAAACAGAAAATTCTCCCTTCCTTTTCATGACTTTTGCATTTGAATATTCAAATTTGGAAAATAATATTCAAATATTCGATAATCAATCAAATATTCAGATATTCGGCACAGCTCTAAAACCCTGCTACTTGTACTGCCCTCTCTGATCTCGGTCTAAATGTACCTGCATGTACAGTACATGTACCAGATACACTGCCCAAGTATGATCAGTGACCACATGCTGACCCCTGACCAATCTTCCCTGGTAGTAGACCCAGTGACTGACCAACTTCAGTTGATCAAACTGGGCCACACACATGTATGCAGCATGAATGATTGATTTTCTACAGCAGAATGAAGGCCATTCTGGCCAAAGTGTTACCAAGTAGTTTTATCTTTGGGATGTGATCATTTACAGGGAGGGGGACACTCCTTCCAAGTTCCAATAAAGGTCAAAGTCTCAGAAATGATGTATGTGATTTATTAGTTTGTATTAGTGTATCGTTAGCGTATCCTGACTTCCACAAATTATTTATATACAAAACAAAGAACATGTATCCACAAATCTAGCTTGATTAACAGAATTTCATTTTGGTCCAGAAAGTCTAGTTTTGCACAAATTGAGAACAATTCAATCATGTTATTTATACTTTTAAAGTTGGTTAGAAACTGCCAACCTTGTACTGTCAAGCTAAAACGTTAATCAGTCACACATGTACACCTAGTTGAATAATAGTAAGTCATGTCATTCAATTGTTTTGCAGTGACAAAGGTTTACAGAAAGTCAGTCTTTTAACACTGCACACTGTTGTTTTATTCCTGCATGATTTAGGTTCAGTTCAATCAAATAAAATAATCAATCAACCTCATCAGGACTCCATCACTGTCAATTGCCCTGTCCTTCACTCATTCATTGACTTGTGAGTGCAAAAAAGTCTGCCAGACTGGAATGCGCCCGACCAGGAGTTCAAATGTCAAGGGTGTCCTATAGTAGTTGGCAAGTGCCACTCCCTAGTTCCATGTAGCTGTGTGTGTGTGGTGTGTGCTGTACATGTACATGTACGTGGAACCACGTGGCTGGTAGCATGGCAGGAGAGACCACGTTTTACAAGTGAATGTTTTAATCACATAAAGCAATAAAGAACTACCGGTACTGTTTAGGGGACACTGGAAGAGTGCTCTTTGATCTAAGACTGAAATCAAATTGTAAATCCATGCTTGTAAATCATTACAAAAGTACCACACTGCTGCAGTTCAGTGCATCGGAATGCCTTTTCACACCCTGTTGGGAATTTCGGCATGTATCCAGCTTGTATTTGACTAAGAGGGTCATGTAATTTTCGCAACAGCACTTTATTTTGGTTACAGGCAGTTTACCTTCCAAACCATTGTTGAAATGAATGCAGCGATATTAATGTTTTCACCGATTTGGCAAAACAACCTGGGCAAAACAGGTTTGGTCCCTGAGGCTAGGCTACACAGAAGTTAAACAAAGAGAACTTGTACCTGTGCATTTTGCAGTGTGCATAGTGCATTTTTGTTATGTCACTTCATTTGACACTATGGCACAAATACATACACTACGTAGGTGTTAAATTACTCCAGAGGTGACAAGCTCATTCAAAGAAAAAACACAAGCACCGCCGATGACATCACTTCCCTTGTCTTTTATCCAACCAGCCACATGCTCATTGATGCCTCCTGACCTTAAATAGATCTGGAAGTGGCCCATGAAAAAGTTTAACCTACTTCCTAAGGAAGCTGACGTATGTAACATGCAAAACGGGGATGGTCCACTCTGAACACAAAAGGCAGGGCATTCATACACATTGTGTATGGTATCTTGCTTGAACGAAGCAGGATGTAACATGTCCGCGCAAACTGTACATATACATGTATTTACATGTAGTTTTGACACATGAACAAAGAAATCATGTTTTGTATTTCGCACCCCTATCATTTATTTTTGAGTGATGAGTATATACAACTTAATTATTAATTAAGGAGAGACAGTCCATGGGCCAAGGTCACAATTATGACACGGCACATTTGCCAACACTCATGTTACGGCAAAACAAGAGTTTGAGCATTTTGCACTAATTGCAGGAAATATCGACAAATTGTCTGCCCATGCCATGTTTTGTGAAAATGAAACAATCTGAATGGGGACCGACGGCTGAATTGTTTTTTACATCACAATGCATTAAACGCACCATGTTTTCACACGATGTGCATGTATGTGAACTTGCATTTAACGTTACGTATCGTATGTGAGTAAATTGCCCAAATCTGTAAGTATCAGAGGATACATCAAGGATGTATCAAGAGGAAGAAAGACAGTGAACCAGTCTTATTCATGATTACACATGATTTCAGCAAAATCTATTCACAAAGATATTCATGTCCCGTACATGTCGTTCAACACAAGAATATTGGGCCTACACTCCGACAGTTCGCTCTTTGCACGATGCCGCCATAGGCATGCCCAGCCTCAATCTGGCAACTTGACACAATAGACATAGTCGGTTCAGTGATTTCTGTTTATGTTGCTTAGCAATTTTGGGGGTGCTGTGTCTGTTTCTTATACCATGGGACCGGACAACATTTCAAAAGCTGCAATGATGCCATTCCCACGTGATTCTACAAAAAGCGAATACTTTCCCAAAATCCTCCAAAATTACAGGCACTGGTGTCCACATTTTAGTCCGCATCAAGTTTACAATCCCATGGAATTAATTTTTTTTTTTCATGCAGGCTCTGAAGCTTCATTTAAATACAGCCTGACAGACAAAACAAGGTTTTATTCAATTATATCAGTTTGGACATGCACTCAAATAAAAATAAATTTACGCCCGTCTTTTTGATTTAATCAACCATGAGAGCGGTAGAAAAGTTGTTAGTTTTTTAATGTAGATTCCTTGAAAATCACTGTTGCCCCAATGTTTGGCAGTGCATATACATTTATGTAATGTTGCTCTCGAATAAGATTTATAACAAATAGTCTGATATGATTTACATCTTGCCTTTCTTGGATTCTTCTGTCCTTGTCTTTCCTGAACAGTTATTTAACTATTTGACATGAAATTTTTTTTCAGACGTCTGTATCAGAAATTTAATAGAAGTGACTGAAAACAGAGAAAATTTAAATGAAAGAGTAGTGGTTTCAAACCATAAATGAAACGGGGAATCTCTCCACATCAGTGTTTCTGTCCAATTGTAACATGCAGTGAACTTTCGTAACTGTACAAACTACTGACGAATTCTGCAATGCTAATTCTAAATGGTCCAGTGCAATGTGAACAGCTATAAAGAAGTCCCAATAATTACTCCACTATTGGAAAGATGGCAGATCCTGACGTACAGATGTTTAATCCTAAGTTTCCAAAGGGGGCCACCACAATGGGGGGGGCTCTTCACGCAAGCCCAAACTAGTCTGCACACAGAAGTGTTGTCCCACCCAGCGTACAGTTTACAATTACATAGTATTCATTTTGTTGCTGTAGCAAAGGCACTTAAATCCTCACTGAGCTTTAATGACAAAGTCACCCATGCCAACCACAAATCCAGGTACCATGCTGACGCTGACGCTAACGCTTACGAGGTTTCATTGTAACTTCCCGGGAAACTATTGATGCTTGGGAGCCTTATTATTCACAACTGAATGCTTCAATAGGAAAAACTAGCCCATTTGAAAAACCGGCCTGTGCACCCCTTGTGATGTGGGTACCCACCTGTGTGCAGAACACTCGTGGATGACCTTGGAGATAGCGTGGGTAGATGGTACATGTACAGTACATGTATACTGTACTGTACATTGTACATGTGGGCTAGACTACAGATGGCTGGCAGCATGCATTGTGGTTAGCACTGCTCCAATTCCAGAAATCATTTTAAGCAAAACGTGAAGTACTGAAACAATACACTCCGGGGTACACTTTCAAAACGGCTTGCTAAGCAAATAATTTGTCTTCTTTCAGTCCAAACCTGAATTTACGTTTCATTTCCTCCATATATATATATGACAATACAAATTTGCATCTCCTCAAAAAGGGGCAAATCTTGAGTTTGGGAAAATTCAAGCAAGTTAAAATGTTGTCCATAAGTAGGCCTTTAATAACAAGACTTAATTTCCATGATTCAGCATAGAACTGTAGAGATTTCAGCAATATATAAACTACAACGATAGAACATGTAATTCTACAAAGAAATGACTGTTTTTTCCGAATATTAATTACTATTATCTTTAAACACAGCAAAATATAAGCACAGAACAAAACTACATTCATCATGGTAAATTAAAGAAATTTGAAGTTCAGAAAAAAAATCACAGTGCATGTTCAGTTTCTGTGCCGATATAAAACATGGTAGGCCCTAAACACGCAAAAGCACATTGGAATCAGTAAACAACACCAGAAAATTGCATCAATGAGGAATTTAATTTCCATATTGGGATATCACAATTTTTGTGTCAAACACTAACAAATTTACTTTAAAAAGGTGAAATTTGGAGGAAATAGGGTTTAGTAACATGAACCTTAGGGCAACCTTGCCGTAATATTTAAATAGCTGTGTTCGCATATGATTTTTCATTTCTTGGTAAAAATAACTGTTCCTTGCTCTATGGTAAAACTCACAGAGACTGCTGTCAATTTCACAAAATTAAATCCAATGCAGATGGCTGATGAACTGTTATATTTATCGACTGTGGAACGTTGGCTGTTAGTAAACTTTTACCATAGCTCCACGGTTTTACCTTCCACTTCAAATCTTACATTTTGATCACATGAATGGGTCAGGGTAGGCCATATTCCCACGACCTCTGTTATTTCTCTTGCTCGAGCCATATACCGTAGCTCCATACTCGAGCCAACACAGTACTGTTCATACATGTACTAGCACTAGCAACATGGGCGTACAAGGAAATGTCCAAAGTGAAGCCACATCTGGTGTCAGATTATAGGGATAATCAGAACAATATCTACAATGTAACTTTTTGAAATTCTTTGCCTATTGCAAACACTAATGCAAGCCTAGAGTAGGCCCAGAACTGTAGGGTCCGTTGTCTGCCCCGCTCCCGGACCCCACAGTTAGAGCTATGGGCTACTCCCACCGCTTTCCCATCATGCCCATCTGGGGGGTGCGGTGGGCCTGACCATGACAAACCCCACAGCACCGTCCTACGTAAACACAGCTTATGACACCCGAAAATTTTGATGGCCGAACAATATGGATTTTTTTCCATTAGGCCTAATTCAGTCAGAATTAAGTTACCGTACATAGGGCCTTCCCCCTAAATATGTGACCAAAACAATAGAGCTAAGCCCTACAGCCTGCCTAAACTAGCTACTGCTGGACCTATACTATAGGCCTAGCAAAAAAACCGCTTACAAATTCTTACCTAGGTTTCATGTCGTCCAACTCGTTCCTCTGCTTGCCGAGTTCGATCTGCAGCCTGGCCTTATCTTTCGCCGTGTCGTCCAGCAACTTCCTCATGTCCGCCAGTTCCTTCTCGTACATGTACTTCAGATTGGCGATCTCCTGCATCTGGGTCTCCTCCACGGTTGAGATCTGCATCATCAGCCTGCTGTTGTCTGACTCCAAGGAGCGGACCTTGTCGATGTAGATAGCAAGGCGGTCGTTCAGATCCATGAGCTCCTCTTTCTCCTGGGTCCGGCTGATAGCCGTTGGGCTCCTTGGGGAAGACCGACTGCTACTACTACTAACGACATGTTTGACGGTCTTGCTGGACCGTGTGCTGGTCCTCTGGCTCATGACAGGAGTCGACATTTTTTCGGTGAAAACGGCTAGCTTTAACGAGTACGACGCTTCTCCTCGCAGGTAGCTGCAACTGGGTAGCCTATTACGTACGAACGTGAGGTCCACACACGCGGCGCGCGGTACATGCAGCAAACAACACTGAACGAGCCGGAAGTCAGATTCGCGTGGCCTTTTGGGATCACGTGGTATGAAACTGCAGACACAACCGCCAAATTTGCAGTTAAGTGGAGAAAACCGTCAGCCTGCCGCGTGCGGCGCACTAACCACACAATAGTCTGGTTTCCAGACCAAAAGATCACTGATGCTTTAAGAGATACGATAGGGACCCAGCTCAACCGCATGAAACAAAACCGCAGACAGTGAAAGGCAACAGGAATGTGGTTCGCTTACAAGCAAAACGGTCCCTTTATTTACGTCTAGAAGGGTTTTATGTTTTACATGAGATATTGCCCTCTTAGCAGTGTCAACACAAGACATGAGCGTCTCGCTATTTTGTGTATAACCGTTTGTTTGTTTGTTTGTTTGTTTGTTTGTTTGTTTGTACAAATTGCACATTTCTATGGTTTTCTCTACTTTTACTCTTGTAAAAAAAAATAAAAGAGCAGAGAGTTGAAGATTACACAGAACACAAAATTTCCCATTTTGTCATTCAGATCAAGTTCGATGTCCGGAAGAACTGTTTCTTCGTTTCAGTTCATGCATAGGCCCCTGCGGACTTGTGGCTTGACGGATCACCCACGCAGAAATAAGACAAATTGGGGAAAACGGAACCTGCCTGCCAAAGAAGAGCATCTGACCATGCAAGGTGCATGCTCTTTCGGCAGGCCTGGATTGGTAGAACTTTATATAGACAGACAATGACGTCACTGCAAATGAACGAGTGTTCAGACTGTGCCTGTATCAAACCCAGATCAGTGCCAGACAAGTCATATGTCTGTCACTGACTAGAGTGAGCATCAGTTACTCGATTTCAATGACTTCTATGACTCTACATATCCAAGCAGCGGGCCAAGTTTAAAGAAATTCATTCAGCCTTCAGTGCGTCAATAGGACGATCGGCATGATGGAGCCGTAATGTTTAAAACCAGATGATAAGGTTAAGAGAAGTTGTTGTTGCTACTTTAACCATCCAAATTTGATCAAGAAAACCAATGATTTGAAATATATCGCCAAAAGATCAGTGATACTTAGTGAGAAGATAAATTAACTCACTGTGATTGTACCAAGGCCCAAGGTTTTATCGTTCAGCCTATACACTTTTTCGCCAACAGGAAGTGATAACCTCGCGGTCACAGGTCGTGCACAATGTAGCCAATCACAGTGCAAAGCCATCAGTCCTTCCCAGTACCCTGTTCGGGTGCTGGGCGACGGGCGAAACTTTACAGCAACCGCGCGAGTAATACAAAGCCCTAATGAAAACCTTCTTTTGGTCTCATGAAATACCGGTCACTGAACCGAACCCCACCCCCTTTTTCAGCATCACAAAGCCACTTCTTCAGCCATATATGCATGCAGTGCATGGGCTGGCAATCAGAACTATGATAGGATTCCTACGCTGTTGCTTGTGTTCAACCATGCAAAGAAATTGATCCAGTACTCGTTCGACCCTTCTGTTTATCGTAGATTGGTTAATCTCATTCAATATTGTATCGATCGAAATAATCCTTGACATGTTTGCGAGGCCAACGACTTCCGTGCAAGTGCTTCAATGTGATACAAATATAGTCAGAGCCAGGCGCGTAATTCGTTTACTGTGCATTATCAAAGAGTAGGCCTACCAAATTACTCATGAGCTTCGTGCTTGAAGTAAAAACACTCTGCTCCGTGATCCTGTTTGAGTCCATTGTCGTTTTTCCTATGCAGCATTGCAGAGTGGATGATCTTTAGCTCGAGGCTTTCAACAATCATTTCCCAGCTTTGCAACCCTTAAGGGTTCAAAATGCTTCAATTTAGTATGCCAAGGATGAACTTCCAGGACATACCATCAGTGTACAGCATATGTAATTCGGAAACGTGCACATAATTGCCACTGGTGGATGCTCAGCCTGTCGTCAAAGCGAACGGGGCATCCCCGATGGGACATGTGACATTTTTCTGTCCCTGTTACGCCTGACGTGTACTATGGCAAGGGATATACTGAAACTATTTTCATCTGTTTGGTAGGTAATTTGCAACACTAACCTTATTCAGTCTTGGAAATTAAATAGAAATCACTCGCAAGATGTAACAGGGACAGGAAAAAACAGGATGCCAAACCTATGATGGAGTGACCCTGATAATAGTGTGGTAGTAACACGAAGAAAGATCGGTGCGAATGAATTCCTTTCGACACACATTTCTGTCTCTCTCCAGCCGCTCTCTAGGTGACGCAACTACACGGTACGATGGCTCCCTTGCATCGCACCATCGCTTTCTTGCCATTACTTTTGTACATACACGACGCGACGGTCTGCGGCGTCTCGTCGCGCGTTGTGTCGTCGTGCGCCGCGTCGTGCTTCAGGCGACGTAATGAGCGACTCCACGCACGACGGTGTGACACGACGGACGACGAAAGGAGCGACGTTTAGGCAGAAAAATATGCAAAATGGAAAAGACGTAAGACAGCACGACGTGACGGGCAACGGCACGACGCGACGCACGACGTGTACAAACGTAAGGCAAAAAGGCGACGGCGCGATGAAAGGGAACCGTCGTGCCGCCGCGTCGTGCAGTTGCGTCGCGTAGAGAGAGGCAGAAATGTGTGTTGTAAAAGTAATTTGGATGGGCTCACGCGGTGAGGTGTTGGCTGCAGGTCAACACTGATCTTAGAGATCTTTTTCTAGTAAACACATATAGAAATGGGACGTCACTGTCAAAACAGACGTCAAAGATGTCGAGAGGTGTGACCACGGTATCGTGATAGAACTCATCAAGAAAGCTCCTTACAAGGTGTACGTATGGACAAATTCCTTTAAACTTTATTTTGTGAAGGAGGCACGTCAATAGCTAGCTACAGCTGTTCAAAACATGCTGGGTTATTTACCGCGTTGTCCCTAAATGCAACAGGGTGGAAAACACTCTTTGTGAGCGATTAGGGCCGCCCCCTTAAATTAATTCTGAGTGATTTTGCAATTTTTTTACAGTGACGTTTTCTCCTCTTTTGTGTGTGTTTTTTTTTCACCACGGCCAATAGCGAAAAACCAACCTTGAAGAGTAAATAGACTCTCTCTGAGCTACAGAGAATTGGTACCGAAGCATTGACAGCTTTTTACATGCATGTGCGCGTGCGGGACAAAATACTTTGTCACTGTTTTTTGGGGGGGTGGGGGTGGGGGATGGGGGGTTGGGGTGTTTGTTTGTTGGGTTGTTTGTTTTTGGCTTGAACTTCAACGCACACAGCGCGCACCTGAAACGCGCACATAGAAGTGCAGTGTTAATGACCTGTGTAATGACGAATTACTGTTCAAAGGACCTCTAACGAGGAATGATATAATGTCACAGATCTGAAGAAATTTGAATGGGCAGTATATAGGGGAGGAAGAGCGATATATTATGCTGAATTACATGCAGTGGGCGTTGTGCATCGTTAACGGTCAACGATATGCAAGGCTTGGCAGGTACTAGTGCACTTGATCCATGTAATAATGTTTGCGACTCAATAATAATGGCAGCCAATTACATTGCCCACCTCCTATCAAGGTTTTGGTGAAATGACAACTTCAGTAATTATCTAACAGTAGACGATTTGGGATAGCACTTTATAGACTAACTAAATATAAAATACTGCATAAGCTTTCGTAGCAACAACTACTTCATCAGATGCACTAAGGAAATGTTGAGTTTTCTGTATTTTGGTGTTATCACAGAAAGTTTTTACATTCAATAGAAAGATATTTATATTGAAGCTAAAAAATGATGAATTTCGTCTGACTGTTCCTTGCATTTCAACGGATGCTCTTGGTCATAAAAAGAGCAGGTGCAGATTCAGGGGGGGGGGTCGAAATCCCCCCACCCCTAGTCTGAGACCAAAACAGGGTTAAAATGGGGAAAATAATACAAAAAATAACTTAAGCAAGTGCACTTATACCATTGTAAACAATGTATGTCGTTTATAATGTTTCATTATCATTTCCAATTGTCCCGCAAAATGAGACATTAATTTAAAAAAATCTCCGGCCAGATGAAAATTGCTAAAATGTCATTTCTCAGCACCAAAAATGAAAAGAAAACTACAAGGGACCTACTGGGGTGATCGAATGATATCGATTGCTGTTTTGATGACATCAGAGAATTTTAATGCATGCCATAAAAAAAATGTATTTAGTCTCATCATTTGTGCGAGATAATATCTCTGAAGCACATTATATTAGGGCCTTTAAAACGACAAACTCAAATTTTGTCTTCGAAGGTTTTCCCTCTGGCATGATGGAGAATTATCGTCCAAAAGGGAGAGAGTAGGACAGCTATAAACCTACAGGTGACCAATCGGCATGGTTCCCAATCATCTAACGAAGAAAGAAAATAAAAAAGTTGTTACGATCGTTTGTGGGGACATGTTACAATCATTGTCCTTCGACAGCGCCATCAACGGTGAGATTCTTATAAATGAAATTGTTTTTGAGAGCGCTGAAGGTACAATTTTATCTTAATTTTTCTGTTGGGGGCGCTCATGTCCTGGTATGTGCAGAGCTGTTTATCAAGGTGCAGTGAACTAATTCAAGTGAAAATTTCTGCTCAGCTCATTTACAGCATAAAACGTGCCCCCAATTTCTTTTGAAAAAGGAGATTGTTTTGCCAAAAAAAATAATAAAAATAGAGAGATTGTGTAAATATGGCCATGATCAACTGCCTGCATGGATTTCGGCATTCCATCCAAAGGAAGAATTGATACTAAAATTACGGATGGAAAACTGTCCTCAGTTCCCGACAAGGTAGAGGGAAGCCATCTGAAACTGGCTACGAAGAGGATTTATAAACTATCAGTTTTTGAGGGGTGGGTTTGTTTTGCGTGAATAATTACAAATGTAATCGGCTAACCCCCCCCCAAACTTTTTTTAATGGAATGACTGGGGTTAAGACAATGATTTAATTTTTGGTTGAGCAACTCCAGTGATGTCGGCTTGCATGTTATTGAGCCCTAAACTGTGTTGAGTTTGCACTGTTTTCAATGGGGCTTGAATTTGTTCACTCTATCCATAGAGATATGTATAGCTCTT